AACCAATAAAATTGAAGGACCTAAATTTGTAGCAAATTCTGTAGCAGTTAAAGTTAAGCTGCTATAGTGAAGTACTGGGCATTCTCAATACTTGAATAATGGAACATGTACACAGGGAAACATAGCATTGCACTTTAAGCACTGTACTATAAGTGAAAATGCAATGTCTTCAATAAATATTTAAATTGGCACCAAAAAAAAGGAGAAGGAGGAGAAGGAGAAGGAGAAAAAGAAGAGGAGGAGGAGGAGGAGGAGGAGGAGGAGGAGGAGGAGACAGAGGGGGACAAGAGGATGGATCTCTTGCAGTTGGGAAGTGGTCCAAGGGAACAAGGGCGAGGGGTGAGGAGGAGGGGAAGCAAAATAGGAAGAATAAAGATGTGCTGTGTACAGGAACGTGATCACCTCAGTGACTGTAAACACTATAGGCCTTAAATGAGTAAAATTAATAACACCAATGAGAATGAAAAATTAGGTGCAGAAACTGGAGGAGGAGGTGGAGGAGGAGAGAGAGGAGGAGGGGATTAGAAAAAAAAAGAAACAAGCTGTGGTATGCACATGTACCCACTCCTCAAGATGACTGTAAATTGCATGAAATGAAAATATATACTAATAAAAATAGAAAAGAAATTGTTAAGGCCAGGCTGTGAAATACAATGGAAACAGAAAAGAGTAATTAAATTCTATGTAGATACTGTCTTCTGCCCATGTCTTTCAGCCTGATGCCCACTCTAACTTTGTCTGGAAGATTAGCAAACATAATAGCGGTTGAAGAATAGTGCCACAATGAGATGTTTTCCTTGGTGCAATGAAAAATCTGGGAAGACCTTCATTTTTCTCACCATGTAATTCAATATTCTTTATAGCTGTACCATGTACCATTAGAATCACCTTGGGGTCCCCTCCCTGCCACTCTGCTGACTGTGAAAGGCTGGTAAACAGTAAAAGGAACTGCACATGTGGCTGTTATTACCACTCTGACACTCTGTCCTTGGGCTCTGGAGCAAGAGCTTGGCCCAGTGAAGATTCCCAAACCTGACACTGTGGCAAACACACACTGGTGAAGTAGCAGCAGGGTTGAACACAGCACATGGGCAGGGGGTTTAGGGTTGGCATTCTAGGGGACAGACATGGAAAGAAGAGTAAAGCTTGTTGCTTTAGTACTGCTCCCAGCAGCTGTTATCTATGAGGGAGAAGAGAAGAGAGTATGGGAGAGGCTAGCCCATGAAGCCTGAGAGCAGAGACACCTACTGGAAACCCAAACTATCAGCCTGTTATGGCCGCATGTGCCTGTGACCCTTACTACTCAGGGGATGGAGGCAGGAAGATTACAAGTTCAAGGCAAACCTGCACAACTTAGAGCCTGTCTCAAAATAAAACAAAATGGGCTGGGAATGTAGCTTAGTAGTAGAGGGCTTGCCTAGCACAAGACCCTGAGTTCAACCCCTAGCATTATCAAACAGAAAAAGAAAAGAAACTCAAACTACTAGGCTGGGCTCCTCAGCTAGGGGCAAAAATTGAGGCATGCCTGGGACCTAGGTGATGGGCAGTGTGGAAACAGCCTGCCAAGGGTTCAAGTGCTTACAAAAGTAACCCAAGGAAAATAAGAGAGGTGAGCCTACCAGAACTGCTCCAAAGGGTGGTACCAACTCAACCAGGGACATCCTGGGCCTGGGCCAAGCAACCTGGCTTTGGAGTTTGATAGGCCTGGGTTCAACCTGGTTCTGTCACTTCCCATCTAAGTATGCCTTTGAGTGATCACTTAAATCCTCCGACCCCAGGCTCCTGGCTGGAGCATAATGACTGACCTCAAAGGACTGCAGTGACAGCCCCAATGCTTTGACTGCAGGGCCTGCTACTTCACTTGCCCTCATTGCCCCCTCCCACCTCCATGGCACACTAGACCTCTGGCAATGTGTTATCTCTTTGCCCTGCCCCAGACTCACAGCTTGTCTCCCTGGACCCCATCTGCCTAATGCCTGTCTGTACCAGGCACTCTACTAATCCCAGCAATGGGGTCAAGAAGCTGAGGAAGAGAAAGCTGAGGGACACATTCTGGAGGGCTGCAAAATCTCTTTCACTGACAGACAGGGGGGATGGTGGGTGATCTGCAGTGGGGGCTGGCCAAGCAGCCTGGCCATCTCACTGGAGCAAGAGGCAGCTCTGGCCTCTCCCAGTTGCAGCTGAGCTCAGTTGGCAGAGAACAAAGACCAGACTCTCCTCTCCCGGGGTGTTAGAAGGCGGTGCCTCCTGCAAGTCCCTCCATAAAAGCTACGAGGTTAAATATAGCCCTTTCCAGTTGTCTAGGACATAGATTTATGAAATGTCAGAGCTGCACCGGAGTGAGAAATGATCTTATCTCTGCTCTGTTTTTAGAGTAGAAAGGAGGTAATACAGAAGACAAAGAAATGAGGACTTTCAGCCTGGGCAACGGGAGGCCACTGGAGGCTGTGGAGGGGCCTGGCGTGTTTGGTAAAGGCTTTCTGGCTGCAGGGTGGAGAGGGAGCTGCAGAGTGGGAGGAGGGACCCTGAACAGGGAGGGAAACAAAGACACCCAGACCAGGGGAGGAGGCTGTCTTTCCCCCTAGGTGAGGGCAGTCCCTCCTCCTCTGGCCCACTGTCATAGTACACTGTCTCCTCCAGGGCACCCATGTGGCCAAAGGTTCCCAGAACTTTCACGCCCTTCAAGGCCAGCCACCACATCCATGAGGAGAATGCTGGAAAGTTCCTCTTTGTTCAAAAGTGCCAGCCTTGCCACCCGAGGCCCCACTCAGACCTTGTCCACTCACTCCACCCATGACAGCCCAACAGAGACTTGAAGACCCTTCTCCATGCCAAACAGCACCCAGTCCACTCAGGACTTTATTTTCACTTTCATTATGCTGCTTTTGCAATTTTGTGAGGTTAGAAATGCCTTTGAGAGTGCTTCTGACATAAAGAGCCAAGTAGAACCCTGAGATACCAAACAGTAGCTTCCCACAGGTTTTCAGGTAGAGAGATACAGTATCACCTCCCCCACCCTGTCCCTCACACAGAAGTCAGAGGAGGGTTCTGGTGTGGCATATGACCCTGGACTTCATTGTGTCTTCAGGCCAGGAAGTCCAGCTCAAAGTGAGACTTGAAAGAACTTGGTCTGTCAGTAACAACCTGTGCACAGAGCGAGGCACTCTGCCCCTGCCTTTCCCAGATACCATGTTTGGGAATTGCCCAAACCAATTAGCCATTTTGGCAGGAATCCTGGAGGTGGGTGAAACCCCAAGATTGATCCAGAGACATCTGAGGAACAAGGCCTCAGAATCTATGGCAAGTTAACCCAACGAAAGTAGGAGATGAACAAGCACAGGTACATGCACATGTGTACACACACACACACACACACACACACACACACACACACACTTTCTCAGTCACTTTTACTCTCCCTTCAGGATTCTAGAATATCAGGGCTGGGATGTGGTCAGATCCACCCTCCCAACTCCCAAAACCATCCCTTCGTACAGCATCTTTCCCAAGCGGCATCTTGCCCTCTCTGTGTACCCCAAGCACTAGGGGACCCGCTGAGGCACAGCTCTGACTACAGAAAGCTCCTCCCTCACCACGAACCCCAGTTCCTTCCCTTCTCCCCTTTACTGCGCACATGGCCCTCCTCGCCCAACTCACCTCCCCGGGTCCAGAAGAGGGTGAGAGACTCAGCTCTTTCCATCCTAGTGGTGTGGAAAATCAAGGCTCTATCTCCAGCCAGTCCTCATGCAACAGAGAAGCATGTGGTGGTCCACCCTGGGGTCAGGGAGCCAAGGGGATCCCCACTGGTGCAAACCCTGCCCCCAGGATGCTCAGCAGGGTGCCCAGGGCCTCTTCCTGAGCCCCATTTCCTAGCACTCCGGCTGAGTCCGCCTTTGCCCAGTGAAGTTGTCCCCAAGCAGCCCAGCTCAGGGAAAGCAACTCAGGCTTCAAAGAGCGAGTTCCCTTTCTGTCGCTCTGTCTCTCACACCCTATCCTCCACCCACAGCCCCACCAGTCCTGGCCCCCAAGCACAGCAGACCAGTGAGGACCGCTCTCTGAGACTTGGGCTTGCCTTCTCTCTAAGAAAGGTTCTCAGCCAAAGCCCCGAGTCAGAGCAGCATTGAGGGCTGACCTCCTCTCAGCTGCTGTCCTGCAGTGAGGGGAAATGAACAGGAACTGGCTGTCTGAGTCAGCGCCCCTGGTCTATTGTCACTGTTCGGGCCCCTTCCTTCCCAGAGGAGAGACGTGCACAGAGATAGGCCTTGTTTTGTGCAGGTCTCTCTTGCACACTAGTCTCTCTGGGCCTAGAACAAGTCTGTGAACTATGGCTCGATGCAACTCACTTCAGTTTCTCCAACTCCTATGAACACCTACTCGACAGGGTCAGAAATGTCATCTTATCCCTATCATTCTTGCCATGCACAGAGGAGGTAAGGACAAGTGGGCCCATTTAACAGAAGAGTAAACTGAGGTTCCAGAAGGGGCAGGACCTGCTGAAGACCCGATGGTTCAAGCTAAGGAGACTTGGAGTCCAAGCTAGCTGTCCATGGCATCAGGAGGCACCTCTAGTCTCCCCCACTTATTGCTTCTCTCACCCCTATTCTGACCAGTGGGGCACACATTCCAGCAAAGCTTATTTCTCAGAGCACAAAGCGTGAGACAACTGCTGGCTTTCAAACACAACTTGTCCGAATTTGTTTCTGTGTGTTCCAAAGGACAAGGATCCAGAAAACAAGTCAAACCTACCACAAGCTGGTTGCAAATGGACTCTTTTGTTGGTCAGTAAGAAACAGCCATCCTGGTGAGGTGAGCGCGGTCAGGGCCTGAGCCTATGCCCAGCAATGGTTTTCTCATCAGAAGGGAGGCATCGCTAGCTCTTGCCCACAGAGTGGCAAGAGATCCAGCGTGAGCTTTGCCCTCTCTTCTGTGTCTGCCAGAGCCAGGGAAGCAGCTTTGTGTGAAGGAATTAGAGGGCTCCCTGGGGAAGCCCCGCGTTGATGACTTTCAACTTTTTGAGGTCAAGGCTAGGCTTTTTAGTCTCCCATCTTCAGGACACATTTGCACAGCCTGGGACAACAGTCATGGCAGAAAGACTGATGCAAAATCTCCAGACAGGGTGAATACACTGTGTCCCTGAGGTTGGGACAGGGTCAGTTTCTAGGGGCAATGAATGGTTCATAACATTCTAAAAGGTCGGCAGGGTAGGGCCTGAGCAGAAACTTTCTTTCAGCAACATCAAGGAGGTGACCTTGACAAAGGTGGCTTCACAGAGGCCACACAACAGCAGGTTAAGGAGGGGAATGGGAGGAGATGGAGACATCTCTTAGGAAGGCTGGCTGTGGTTAGAGAGGAAGAAGCTAGGAGCCAAGCTGGCGGCAGAGGCAGAGTTACAGATGAATCCAATGTTTCTTAGCACAGGAGAAGTACTGTGTGTTTTCAAGTTCAGGACCTTCTTTGAAAACCACCCTGCAGGCTGGACTTCATCTCAAACCAATGAAACCACAGCTTGTAAAGTGTGGAGCCCAGGCACTGTTGTTGTTTTAAATCTCCCTAGGTTGAGAATCATAACCCTAAATCTTGGGAGACTCTGAAAGTCAGTCTTAAAGATCATTCAGTGTAGAGGACAAAGGCAGAATGACCATCTTATATACTACCCCATGGCAGTTTAGAGCCTAAGACTACAGACTTGGGAGTCTTGGGGAACTCAGGGCTGTAGATCAGTTACATAATCAACATATTCTAATATATAGAACCCCTTTAGGAAATAATAACATCTGGCCTGGTGGTGCATGCTTGTAATCCCAGGACTAGGGAGGCTGAGGCAGGAGGGTTGCCATAAATTCAAGGCCAGCCTGGGCCACATAGTGAGTCCAGGCTAGCCTGGACTGCATAGTGAAACCCTGAATCAAAGCACAAAACAAAACAAAAAAGGAAATAACAAAAGCATAGGGCAGGGGAGATGGCTCAGTAGAATAAGCGCTTCCCTGGCAAGTGCAAGGGCCTGAGTTCAATCCCTGGTTCTGTCAAAAAAATAAAAAAATAAAAGCACATATATCATAAATGACTATGTGGACTGAATGGGTTAACATGCACAAAGTGTCTACCTGGCTCAAGAGAAGCTGGACTGGAGCAGGCTGTGTGCCTGGCATGTCTCCTTTTGCCTTGCTGACACACAAGACAGTCCAGCCCTCCACTGAAAGCTCATGACGGCCTCCCTTCTACAATGTTGCTGGCCCTCCCCAGGGTGGGGACCTCTCACTGGCTCTGCCTTCCAGCCTGCTTCATACAAGCCTGGGCTCAAGTTTGTCATTCTCTTCTCCAGTGACTTCACACCCAAAGTCCCCCTGGGCTGGGACTGGCTATTATTGCTGTGACAGAAGCTACCATCACATGTGGCCAGAGACACTGATCGGGACACAATGACTTCACAAATTATACTCCAGTGATATTTGTCTTTCATTCCCCCAACTTAGGTTTTGGGGTTCTTTTGGCTGATGACAAGGTAAACTATTGTCCCTGGCTGTGGAACCAGTTGGGGTAAGTTTCATAACACAGCCTTCATATTTGAGGTGCTGGAGGCCTGCAGCTGGTGGGAGGAAAGGAGGAGCTGTCTTTATCCTGAAACCCAGTAGTGTGACCTAGATCATTGAGTGTTACTTGCTATGTAAGAGATCCCAACCTGTGCAACTTTGTTCCCTGCCCTGAGGAGATAGATAGCTCCTGTCCCTCAAACACCCAGGAAAGAAGAGGAACTGATGACAGAAACAAAGTTTAAAGTAGAGGTTTAGAAAGACACTTTCTGTGCAGGTTGGGGTAGTCAAGAGTCTAGGAGAGGAGCCAGGCATGGTGGCAGCCACCTGCAATCCCAGCTCTCGGAAGCCTGAGGCAGGAAGATCACTGGGAGTTCAAGGCCACCCTGGTCTACATAGTGATTTCAAGGCCAGCCTGAACTACATAGTGAGACTGCAATGTTAAACTGTGGGGCAGGGACAGAAGGGTGAAGAGTACAGTCTGTAAAGTAAGAAATCCCCAAAACTAGATTCCAGAAGCAGAAGCAAGTTCCCAAATGCTCTGAGAGTCTCAAGTGATAGCAGTGGCAGCTCCCACACACCCCTTGCTCACCACATGGTTGTTTATGTAGTAGGGACAGAGCAGGGGGTCTGAATGTCTGATAGGAGCAGAATGCTAGACTTGCTGTCTGCCTTTTATCTCGTGTGCCCTGGGGGCTGCAGCAGTCCTTTCTCTAGGCACCCGAGGAGCATCCCCATCCCAGCCCCAAGAAAAATTCATAGAGGTAGCTCTGCACCACCCTTTCCAATGCTACAAGCAGGACACAGAAAACACATTCCACCCAAATGGGAAGTCTTAATGTGTTAATCAGGAGCCCCATCTTGCTATTGGGACCCTAGATTTTTTTTTATATATTTAGGACAGGGTCTACAGAGTGTACAGAGTCTCACTGCATAGATCGGACTCAGTGATCCTCCTCTGTTCAGCCTCCCAAGCCCTGGGATTACAGGTGCACACCACCATGCCCAGTCTTAATTGCTATCTCAGTGCACCCCAGGGGCAGGGCCAGCACGGCACTCTGGGACCCCAGCTGCTGCGCTCTGCCTAAGCATGCACTTTAGTCTGCTAAGCTGTCTGGCCAGCCCTAGATTGGCTCTTAAAATAAAAAATCCGCTTTTGAGAAAAACAAAGGTTTCACCCAAGCCCATTGACTCTAGGAATGCTGAGGAGTCCAGGCTGCCATGGCCATCTGTGTACAGGAACCCCACTGGGGCCAGCCTGCTGGTCTTCTCAAGCACCATGTTGGGCTCTTTTCAATGGAAGAGCCCTGCCTGGTTTCTCCCAGTTTGATAATGGTTACAGAGCCACGGCTATGTGGCCCAGGATATCTCTACCATTGTGGTGAGCAAATCCCAGAGGTCACAAGGACAATTCTAGGGCATTGGTGACAGCAGTGGTGAGAGAGGCAGCTGCACTGTTGTTCACATTAATCACTGTAGCTAGGTGACCCTGGGAATGTTACCTCGCCTCTATGGGCCTATAAATTGAAAGGTTTATAGGACATGGGGAATTTCCAAGTGTACATCTTACCTTTATTAAAATATCTGGGTTCCCCATCACCACAGAAATAATAACATATTACAATCCGGTACAATGCAATGCAATACAATACAATACCTGGTTCCAATACAATCAAGCCAAAAGGGCTGTTTTCTCCATGAAAAACTTCAATGTTGACATGCAGAAATAAGGATAGTCATGGCCATACATGTACGCCACATTCATTGTAGATCTCCTTCATGCCATCCTCACCCCCACTGGGACTAGGAGACCCCTAGAGAGCCCTGAGGCTCCTAAGTGATGATGGTGGCAGCTCCCGTGTACTCCCTGCTTCCTGACTAGCAATGCTTTGGATCTGCACCTCCTCCCATCTTTTCCAGCATCCTGTGTGGGAGGCGCTGACCACAGGGGCAGTGGGAGCTCTGAGGTCACTTGCCTAGCCTGGTCAGCTGAGAACCCAAGTAGCTGTGGAGGTCTTCACCACATTCTGTAGCAGTCATTCTAACTCTTCCCCATGAAGTTTAAGCATTTTAGAGGAGAAGAACTCATAACATTTTCCTAATTATTCCCTCTTCAAGGCTAAAACCAGAAAGCTTCAGTGGCTTAATCAAATTTCAATGACACTGCGGTGCTCAGAGAAGACAAGGTAGCTGCCACTTGAAGCCACCTAGCAGCACAGGCTCATTCTGGCATTGTTGTCAACTGAGCAGGGCACAGTGCTGAAAAGCACCAGTACTGGTCTATTTTTAGTTGGTATCATAACGTTCCCAAGGATGGGAAGTGTATAAAGAAAGGGGTTTATTTAGCTCCCAGCTGTGGAGGCTGAAAGTCCAATTGGGTGTCCCCATCTGTTTGGCCTCTGGTGAGGCCCTCCTTGGCTGTGCTATCACATGGTGGGTGGCATCACAGCAGCAGCAGCATGTGCAAGAGCACTAGCTCACAGGGTAAGAAAGGAACCAGTGGGATGCAGGGGCCAGGCTTGCTCTTGTGGGAACCAACTGGCAACCCACAAGAACCATGC